AGTTATGCGTACTACTTTTCATTTTACCATTGTTCATTTTCTGTGTACATGAAGATATTTATCAACATCAAAATGTTACCAAAACAATAATAATAAAAAAGAAATTTTGCAATTTACTTTATCAAATCAATTATGATCTTTCTTATAACACAAAAAAGAGCGAAAGTAACAAAAACTTGAGCTCTTCATGCGCTCAAAAACACGTTTTTTGCTAATTAGTTTCATTATTTGTTGTCGTCGATGTTGTACTCCGGACTCTTGATTGTTGTTGTGTTTGATCTGGAGCATTTTGTGGTGCTGTCTGAATTGTCTGTTGTTGTTTCTTAATTTTTTTTCTTGCATCACAGATACATTGTGTTAACGTTTGATGTAGGCATTTTTTGAAAAACTCATCCCATTTTTTATTAGCAATTTTATATTTTGATCTAACAGCATCTCGAAACAAAGTGAAAAAGCAATGGCGGTAAAATTTAAAATGGATGAAGAATAGAAATTGTGCAAAACTGACGTCAACCCGCATTTTCGACGGACCCACTATCAATTTTTTTCATTCTGCTTCATCTGTTTCCCACATGATGTCAATTTCAAAGTGCTCCTCTATTGCTAAACAACCTTGCAGATATGTGTATTTGAGACTCCCAAGCTCTCAGCGTCGATTTTGAAAAACTCACATGTTCCACTTCTCACTAGTATCATGGCTTTCAATCTTCTCTTTCTCTCTAAATCGGGGCTTGTTTTCATCAAAAATGCGAGAGTCGATTATGACAGTTTTCCAAAAGAATTGGCTTAAGACTTAACACATAGACTAGACATGTTAAACTATAAATAATAATGTTTGTACCTTTCAATAGTTCCATTCTTGCTCTATCTAAACCTGGTTTTGCAAATCTAGCATTATCTAATAAAATTGAACGAGATAATTCATCTATTGTAAATAATTTTTTAATTGTATCACGAGGATAACTTTGTACATCTTTTGCATAATGATCCAATAGATTTTCTCCATTATAATCCTAAAAATAACGATGAACAACTTTGTTATGGATTGAAATCGATAGAAAAAATCCACTTACAACAACGGCTGAAAATGTTTCATCACTTTTATATTCGTCTAGATTTGTTTTCACCTAGGCAAAAGCAGAAGAACAATTAATTGAGATAATAACTGTTGCGTAAAAACTCCACTACTTACCAATTGTGCACATGTGTTTGCTAGACGACGAAATTTTTTATCAAATTTGTTCATATGTGTTTGAAAATCATTTGTTAATTTTGTTGTTACATTGTTGATATCTAAACGGAAAAAACTAATTTTGAAAAAGTATGATGAAGCCAAAAGGGTCTTACCTCCACGTAATAACTGAAATTGCTCTTGGTTTACAGCTGCAACCCCATGTTTTGATGATAATTTTTGACGTTGCTTTAAAAATAAAGCGTATTTATACCGAGAAATTATTCATAGAATTTAATGTTGTCATTTTACCGTGTTCTTCCATTTCTTCTGCTAGTTCTTGTCCAATTTGTTGCTCGTCTTCTAGCTCGTCATTACCATCATTTTCTTGTTCTTCTTCTTGTTGATCATTATCATCATTCTGATGCGTTAAATATTGTTCATTACCTTCATCTGTTTCAACTTCATATTCCTGAACAAACACATCATTGGTTCTATTACGCAAAGGTTGACGGAAACGTTTTCGATTAGCTGTTGCGCGAGATAGTCGATTTTGATGATATGTTTGAAATGGAGCTATAAAAGAATAAAGAAAATGAAAAATTTCTTAAGGTTCATCAATACCTGTGGTCTCTCGAAAGCACTTTCTTAAGGGGGTCCTCATTTAGATTTCCTAGTTTGTAGAGGACACTTCGAAGTATATGTCTTGAAGTTGTTTCAGCTTACTGACATTACCTGACTGAGAAAAAAAATTAATTACTTAAAAAAATAATGTTAAATTTTTGAGCACACGGCTACTATTAAAAAATGTCCTGTGTTCATCATAAAAATTTGGTTTTTGCCTAGATCGACAGAGAAATGTGTGGAGAATATTTACCACGGGAAAGAAAGAAAAAGTTTTTGCTCTTTCCTTCCTATTAATAACTAATTAGTGATACTGACCGTTAATTAACATCACTCTACTCCTATACACTCACACTTGTAAAATAACGTTTCAGCGGAAAAATTCGAGCAATAGCTCATATGATAGAGAATTCCACGGACTACTGCAAAGGCTATCTTCAATTTTATGATGAAAGAGGAATGACCAGGAAATCTTTTAATAGTAGCCCTGTGCTCAAAAATGCAACCCATCAATGTTTCAAGTAATTAATTTTTTCTCAGCCAAATAGTGTCTGCAAGCCGAAAAAACTTCAGGACATATACTTCGAAGCGTTCTCTACAAACTGGGAAAATTTAACAAAACAGTTCAAAATTAAAAAGTTTCCCTAATTTTTAGCTAATAGAAAATTTTTTCATAATACCTTGCCCGTAGTTTCTCGAAAAGGAAGCCTTTTGGAGCAAAAGCGCGGTTGCAAAATTTGTTCAGAATGTCATTTTCTATGGCATAATACTTTTCTGGCTCGAAATTCCTTAAACGCGAGTTCTTAAGTATTTAATTAAAATGAAAGGCAAAATTTGAATTTCTCCGGCACACTTCATTCTGGAACGATGACCAATTTTTTCTATATGCAACATGATGTCCCTCTATCTGGTGACGCAATAAACAAGTTTTCATTTTAAATTTAAAGATTATATTTAAATTTCAAAATTTGGGTAAAAAATCTGAGAAAAACTTGAAAATTTTTTTTCTCAAAAACTACAAGTCCGGAAATCGAAAAATTGCAGAATACTTGAGACTATTCTCTATAAACTGGCGGAAAAAACCTCCCATCCACCTACCTAATATAAGTCTATCAAAAATTTCTAGTAAACTTTGTAGAATGAAGAATGTAAATTAAAAGAATAGTTTTGTTATGCTTGTATTGTATGTTGTTGATGACGATGGTAAATCTAGCCGCCATATATTTCTTGATGATTGCAATAAATCTGAAGAATGAAACACAATTACTTTATTTAGATAATGAAATATACGCACCTGCATTGTTTATTTTAAGGTTTTTTCTGTTTGAAGGTATATGAGAACCATTTTCTAAAACGGTAAAAAAGATAAAATGTGCCACAAAGAAAACTTCATTTAACATCTGTAGTACTTTTTGTTCGTTTTGTTTGCTGAGGTGTTGGGGGTGTTAGTTGATAACGTCTTGGAACTTAGTATTGCGCGAAATACGATTATGTTGAGTAGTATTTTCCATCTTTTATCTGAAACTATGAACGAAAACATCACACAGGCAACAAATGACGAAGGAATTAGAAAGACTTCGGAAGGTAAGGAAGATTGCTCTTTCTTCTTTGATATCGACAGGCGTAACAGTTTCTCCTCTGACAATACAATTCTAGATTACATAATCTTTGTCGATTCCTCCAGCCTCTGCCCTCAGCGTAATCACCTGTAGCTCTTATCAGCGACGTCCTAATGTTTGTTACATAATATTTGAGTGACTCCAGTTTAGAAAGGAAAAATGGTAATTTTACCGCTTCCAATTTAACCCATGAAGAAGTTAAAAAACAGCACATCACTGTTATTATTCCATTGTTCAATACACCAATAGATACGTTCGCTTTGCTATTCTCCAATTGTTTTTTCGTTCTTCGGAATAAGAAAAAACGATTCATCACATTACCGGATAAAATAGAAGAGGTTTGTGAACTGCTAAAGTCTACACTCAAAAGAAGAACAGCGTATTCTAAATGTTTTTTTTGCAATAGTATCATTATCATTGCTTAGAAACCATAACTTGTCGATTTACTATGATTTAGCAGTCGACAACCTTTTTTACTGCTATCGTAGAAGTCATTCTTAGAGATGTTCAAATAAAACACAAAAAAATGCATTATCACATCTACTACTAAATTTATTTTTCATATCAAACTAACACTAAATTAACAAAGCAAAAAGAGAAAACTACATTTAATCATGCTCATGATAACACGATAAAGGAGAAACAATGAAGTTTTGATTATTTACGAAAACAACACAATGTTTTAAAATTTGTTCTACCGGTAAAAAAAGTTGTACATCATTTCGTTTCACAACAAAATAAAAATTGTCAAGGGCAAAACGCAATATTCTGTAATAAGCACAACTCTTATCACAACATCTTGATCACATTGACAGTGTTGTCGATGATGATTAAAAATATCGGCATAATATCTATCATTTGGTGACAATACAACTGAATCAAATGGACCTAAAAGTAGAATAAAACGCATAAATTTTAATACAAGATTGCGACGCTTAATACCACCAGGTTTTGGTGGTTCATCTTTAATTGAGTTTCTTAAATAAATATCAACATTATAATAGTGAGTAATTAAATCCCCAAAAAATCTAGTGCCATTTCTGTTTTTGGCCACGTATCCCACCAAGTCTTCCTGTGCAAATGTGTTGATCGTTGATAAGGATCCATGACGATCAAAATTAGTTGGATAATGTTGATGAAGATGTAAAACAAAATTTATATGATGCTGAAAATATTTGGAATGGTCTTGATAATATTTTTCTAATAAGTCATTAGCTATTTTGCTTG